AGCTCTGGTGGCATAGTGCCTAAGGCATTTGACTGCTAACCAGAAGGCTGGTGGTTCAAACCCTCCAGCCACTCCTCGGAAGGAACGTTGGGCAATCTACTTCTGTAGTGACACTGCCTCGGAAACCCAAGGAGGAGCTGCTAAGAGTTGGAATCAACTCAAAAGCAGTGAGGTCAGTTTTGTTTTTTGGGGGGGGTTTATCAGCCACAGCAGCCAGCAGCTGCCTGAGTTAAAAGAAGCCTACAGCTCCAGTGGGTGGGAGCAAGAGGCAGAGCTGAAGCGCAAGGTCAAGGGGCCTTCACCCAGCCCCTAGAGCTGGCACTTTGAACTTGGCCTTCTAGCCTCCTAAGCTGTAAGAGAATAAACTCCTGTTTGGTCAAGCCATCCGTCTGGGTAGTTTTCTGTGAGGGCGGCACTAGGGAACCAGAACAGCAGATCTCTGGGGTTCTTATCTGGCGGTGTTTGAATGGTGGAGCAGGGGAGACACACACCTGTTCCGAGTCCATGGAAGGCAGGGGCTGTGTCCAGGCTGGCCCTGACTGAGGTCCCAATACAGTCAGGCAGATGGCAGACACAGAGATGCCCGGGGCAGCCAGGCAGCATCTGTCCTGTGTGACAGGCTGGACAGTGAGGACACGTGGGCAGCAGCTGGCAGATTTATGTGGATCACGTGCAAAAGTGCTTCACAAACAGAAACTAGCACCTATGAAAATCCTTCTTCTTCCCCAGATGTTAACTCATTGAAACACAAAATTCTAGAAGGTGAGTGTGGTCAAATCCGAACACCGGCAATTAAAGCCCCGCCCCCACTCCTAAGAAAAACATGCACATGCAAGTTGAGGCCTTTTGATAATTAGTGAGACTAGAAATTATGCAAATGAACACCATTCAAGTATGCAACGAATCTTAAGTGACGACTACAGAAACCGTAATTGCTGGATTAGCAGGCTATCACAACACTAATCATGAACCTAAAACAAGGCGCGCACACACCTCCATCCCGACCGTCCTGGTGACAGAAACCCAACGGTTCCTCCCACCGTGTTCCTGTCCAAAGCACTCAACATTCTGAGAAGACTGATGGGCTGGATTTGGCTGCTCATTCCCAACCACTGTGCACACTGGCAGAAACGTTAAATATCTCATTAGTTTTTGTTCAGTGTTCTGAAATATTTATTTTAAAAATGAGCCAAAAAGAAGAATTTCCCATAGCTCCAAGTTTTTCAAAGTTGCTACACTTCACTCCTGGGTGGGACTAGACGCTGACCAGCACTAGTGATGCTCCTGACATGGCCGAGACGAGCGTGTGGGTCCTTCGTAAATCGCAGGGGCCACATTCCCTGCCATCAACAGCCACCATGCTGTCCAGAAGACCCTCAGAACAATGGTGGTGACAAGCTCAGTGCACACTGGGAAGAGGGCTGTCCATTTGCCAGCCCTGGAGCGAACAGCACACGGAAGCACAGCTCTTAAACTGGACACACAACCAGTTCTCCTCAGTCTCACCCTTCAACTCTGAGCATCCCAATCCCTGAAAGGAGTTAAAGGGCTGGCCCCCTTCCCTGGTGGTGAGAACCTAGGGGAGTCTTGACAGGGACAGTAGAGGTGGGCACTGCCCCTCCCGGTTCTGCAGCCCCACGAAGGGCGGGGACTTGATGTTACCCCGCCCCACCACTGCCCAGCTCCCACACAGCGCGGAAGCATAGGCAGTGCTCCACGACTGTTTCCTGAAGGAAGGGAAGGGCGAACCCTGGCCTCTCAGGAGGCACTCCCCACCCTGCGCTTCCAGAACTCACTCGAGTCACCTCTACTCAGTGCCCTCAGGATGAGGCCCGAGCAAAGTGCCCGGATACCCCCCACACACACTCACCTTGTCCCAGTCCCCAACCTCCCCTGGCTGCTCATCCCTCTCTCGCTCCTGGGACCCACCCTCCAGGTCCCCAGCCAGCTCACCTGGGCCTCTGCCCACACTGTCCACCTGCACTGCAGGGTCGGGGTTCCACGTCCTCACCTCCTAGAACCCGGATACAACCTTCAAGTGTCAACACAACCATATACCTCCCCAAGAAGCCTGGCCTGGAGCTCTTGGGCCCTCGAAGCACCCCCTTTCTTGGTGCACTGCTTTGGAAGTGCAGGCTTTGCACATTGACCATGACAGTTCTTCTTACTCCACAGCCCCAGGAAAGCCAAGTGCACAGCCTCTCCATCCTTCCTCTCACACTTCCCCACCTTCTGCTGCCTTTAAGACTCTCCGCATGAGGCAGGACCCAGGCGAAGTCCCCCTTCTGGGAAGCAGCCTTCACCATGAGCTGGCACACCCCCAACACCCAGCAGAGGACTCTGCCCCATCCAAGTCCACGCCTATGTCTGTACCCCCAACACATCCTCACCACTGGGTAGTCACCAGACCCCATGGGCCACGCCTGGCTGTCCTCACAGCAGCTCAGGTCATAATGAGCATCCTGAGCAAGGAGCCCCTAGGTGGGTCCTCACAGCAGCTCAGGTCATAATGAGCATCCTGAGC